GGAGAGAAGTCAGTGTTGGACCTAGGGCTGCTTCTTAGTGTCTTGAACAAACAAGGTCCACAGCTGCCTCCTTACCCAGCCTTCTTCAATGTAAAGGAGTGACTGAGCGTTTGGAAACAGCTGTCACTAACTTGCTCATGTTAATTTGGTCATGGGGACTGAGATGTATTTCCACCCACAGAGGTGGATGCTGGCACTCAGGGATTTTTTTTTTCCCCAATTCCTGAAGGTACAGGGCATGCAGTACACACATTTCACAGATGGAATCGTCCGATTCTGAGTTAGAGAAAAGATGTCTGAAGAATAATAAAGTTACTTTTGGTGAGTACATATTATCTGTAACGAAATAAAATGGGGATTGCAGCAAATACAACTCAATCTTCCATCTCAGAGGTTTATTAACTCTAATCCCACTGGAATCAGCTGTAGGACCTGGCAATGTAATAAAGCAGACTCATTTTTCACACTTTTTTTCCTCAAGGGTTGATGGTACACAAAAAAACAATATCACAAAAAAAAGAATCTGTTTAAATTTCCCCTGCTAATTTATGACTGACTTTCATGCCTTTTAAAAATGGTCTTATTGTTTCTAGACACTAGTAGCTTCCGCCATACCTTCGTTCAGAGCCAGGATGGCAAATCTGTGGCACTTGGCTTTGCTTCCTGATCTCTTGCAAGACATCCTTAACAAATCATTGAAGTCTTTGCTGGTGACTCTTGGTGTGGCTTCGAACTCCCCCCCCCCCCCCCCCCCCGCCAGCAGTCCAAGAAGAGAGAATAGATCCGAAATATAATTGCTGTGTTTGGAAGGAAGAGAATATTCTTGTTTTGAGCATGATTGAGGAGGCAAGGTTTATCCAGGGGTCTAACCATGCAGTGGTTAAAAGATGACAGTGGCATGGTGCAGAGTAACAGAAATCAACAGTACGAAGATCAAGATATTTCTCAGCACTTCAGAAGGCTCCCCAGTGGCTTATATTTACACAACCCGAGTCCTCGGGCCGCCTCTCAGCCCGATGCTGCAGAAAGAGCACCGGGTCTCAGTTCTGGTTCCACCTCCATCGGCTTCCTGACAGCTCTGTGGCAGATGTCCTAGTGAAGCAAGCAAACAGAGGTAGGATGAAAGAATTCCGGAAGCAGGGAGACTCAGGGAACAAGTGTTAGTGGAGTAGTTGCTGATTAAATGAACATAGTACAGCACTCCCCCAAACATGGTTTTAGAGGTCTTCCATGACTGGGAAGAAAGGTCATGCTTAGGTCAGTGGAGAGTTGGCATACCATGGTGGGAGCATGTAGCAGAACTGCTCACCTCAAGGCCAGCAAGTGAAGAGCGAGAGGAAAGGGCTGGGATCCTACAGTTTTATCAGAACCATCCCGCCCCCCCATGCCCTGATCTAAATTATCTTGTTCTACTCCACCTCTTAAAGTCTAAAGAACTTAACAGTGTCACTCTAAGCTTGTAAGCATGGGCCTTTTGAGAACATTTAAGATCCAAACAGTTGAATGTATATCACGATTAAAAACTAAGTGCTATTGATTTTGTTTCTAAATAGTAGTGTACAATTGCTCCAATTGGTTCAGGTATTTTTCATGGGGGTAATGAATGTTACAAATTGTGAGACTCATGAAGGATGAAGGTATACAGATGACCTTATTAAACTCTATCAAGTGCTTATTTAAATATATGCAAACATTCCTCCCCACCCCTTGCCTAGGTTTTGACCATTGACAATAGTATGCCATGCCTTTTCATTACCTGGGCAATAGATAAAACTAATGGATTTGGGGCATTTCCTAATGATCTTTGCAAGACGGCCCCATAGATCCTGTTTCCCTTCTTAGAGATGGGCTGCATATTTGTCGGCTTCAAAGAGTGTGTTTAACATGTGTAAGCCTCTGATGAACACTCCATCATTTAGAAATCATACCTGTATGTGTAGTGTGGTCCTGTTTTTACTTTTTAAAAACTTTGTCTATACATAGAACTGATTTGTAAGAAAGAAAAAACTATACTTACTTGCTATGAATGTTCTTCTGCATGTTATACGGACATGCAAGGAAATTCTCTGCCATCCAAGTAAGGCCCAAGAGACTTGTGATTGGCTAACACCATGGCATCATAATGTCTACCTAGGAAAAAGCTCAGGAAGGCATCAGACTGCTCTCCATGGAAGACAGTAGCCCAATTTTACGTGCAGGTTTTTCTGTCTAGTCTATTTTGCTGAGTGGGCTATGCAAGCCACAAGGTTCAGAAATGTTCATAGCATAGCAGAGTCTCATATTTCCAAGAGGGTTGCGGTAGAGTAGGAAAAATGAGTTCGTACTAATTGCCTTTTGTTGTTGTTTTGGTTGCATAAGTTATGTATTGGTATTGTTTAATCTTAAAGTACTGTTTAAGCCAGAGATGGAGATTCCCTCAGTATGGTAGATTTCAGAATGATAGTCAACCTGTTTGCCACTTAGTTCTCCCGGCTTTGATAGACTTTGTTAGGCCTTAGCATGTTCATGTGACATTCTGTCTTGTTCTGGACGCAATGATTGTATAAGAAGTTACTTCAGTACCTAGTGACTTGTGCTCTTGGGCCTTCTGTGTCTCGGGCAAGGAAACTGGGCATGTCTGTCTGACGATGGCTTGTTTTTGCTGTAGAACGTCAAGAGTTTTCAGTTAAGAAGCCGTAACAGTTGATAGCCATGCAATTTCAGAGGGCTGAAGTCCACGTGTAGGTTCATCCCTGCACGTTTCTAGTGTCGGGTTGAAGGTAGTTCTGCGTCTACCCCTGGCCTCTCAATGCAGCTTGGTTTCCTCACCATGTGGTGGTTTCATGATAGCCAGACTCTGTAAGTCCTGGCTGAGTACTGCAAGCGGTCCAGGAAACAGAGCAGAAACTGCCTCGTCTCTCTTGACCCAGGTTCCCATGCCATGTCCACCACCCCTGCTCAACCCTGTTGCTTTTATTTACCACCATGGGGCCTCGTCTTGACCTACTGATGGGGGAGATACACTGTAGAAGACCAACGTGAAGCCATGTTTAGAAAACAGAATCCTCCATCTGCCTCATGAATGTGGTGTGAGAATATCTAGGCCGAATGAAGAGTGACAGCTTGTAATGTGTGAATTAGAGTACACCCCAGGTGACCTGCTGTTGGCCAAATTTCCTTGAGTACTGTTATGTCTCTAATAGGGAGCTCCCCACAGGGAGTTGGTAATCTTGAGTCTATCAGCACACTAGCCAGCGTGTAACAATTAATCTTAAGTACTAACTGAGGCAATTGTTCGCTCCTGTGAAACCTTTAGCTCCTGTGAAATCTTTAGAGAAATTAGGGAAAGATACCCTCTGAATCTGGGGGAGGGCATCCCTTCCCACCATGAGACTCTTTTGCAGCACACACACGTGACATCAAAATATCATCCCGGTAGCTATTATTGTAATTAATTTCCTCATAAAAACATCAAAGCCCTTAGCACGGCACGGCCCATGTTTCCCTGATTGCTTTCCTCAGCATCCGTTCACAGCTGCCCTTTCTTTTGTGCCTCTGTTCTTGCCCCTCCTCTTTTTCTCCCGTGATCTCCTGCACTTACTCAGACCCCTGATGCTCTATGGGTCAGCTCATAAATTGGTTTTGGAGGGAGCACGTTCCCAGGAATGCTGGTGGCTTAACACTACTAAATACACATCCGAAACATTTCTGAACATTTAAATATCCAATTACAGATGCAGTACACATATATTATACACACTTACAGAAATGATACAGAAAGGAAAAAAAAATGTAGTGACTCAGAACTCTCCTCGCTTGTAGGGCTTCCAGCAATGCAGTATGCAGGCCACTATGAAGGTCAAGTAGAGAGAGAGGTGGAAGTCGTCAAATAGAGTATAGGATTCTTATTTCAATTAGAATTTCAGGTATAGGATCCTCATTTAAATTAGAATTTCAGGTATAGGATCTTCATTTAAATTAGAATTTCAGGTAAAGTGTTTATTTTTAGGGTCGTGGTTTAGTTAGGGTTACCACTGCTGTGATGAAACACCATGACCAAAGGAGCTTGGGGAGGAGAGGGTTTATTGGGCTTACACTTCCACATCACTGTTCATTACTAAAGGAAGTCAGGACAGGAACTCAAACAGAGCAGGAACCTGGAGGAGGGAGCTGATGCAGAGGCTGTGGAGGGGTGCTGCTTACTGGCTTACTTATCCTGTTTTTTTATAGAACCTGGGACCACCAGCCCAGGGATGGTACCACCCACCATGGGCTCAGCCTTCCCCATAAATTACTAATTAAGAATATGTCTTACAGGCTTTGCTATAGCCAAATCCTATGGAGGCATTTTCTCTATTGAGGTTCCATCCCTTCTTTCAGATGACTATAACTTATGTCAAATTGATGTTAAACTATTTAGCACTGATGTGTGTCTGAAATATGTTTTCCTGAAACTCTTTTAGTTGGGTGTCCTGTGTTTAGCATTTTCTAAATTTGGCAATTTCTCTCTGTGTGATGTGTCTGTAGGAAGAATATGGTGTATGTATAGGCTGGGAGCTTCTGTGTATGTGCATACATATATGTATGTGGTACGTGGTATGTACTTGTGTGAAGTATGGGTTTAGGCAGGAGGATGAGGTCACTTAGAAGAAGGAAAGAGGACATTTAGCGATGGTGTGTCCCCCAATTTGACTAAGTTCACCCATATTTTTTATTATATTCTGATAGTAGCTTGTTGCGAGTTACTGGTTTTGTAGTCCCATCTCTCTCCAGACAGGGAGTCAGGAGCTGAGCCTCATCTATGCTGTAGCCCTCTACAGGCCGTTTGGTAAACATTCAGTTTACATACAGAGTTGGAAGCTCTCACGTTTCTGACAGGGACAGGATGTGCTCCAGTGCCTCTGTCTCCTTGACAGCGATGATGATGTCATCTACAGCTTTACTGAATGCTCTGTCTCCAGCATTGGATAGTGTTGCCTTGTTTCACCAATGTTAGAGCTTTGGAGCCACCTGGTGAGTTTGCTTAAAATACAAGTCCCCCGATTGCTACTACCTCCTAAAGTAGGGGCCAAATCCATGCCCACTTTACCTCTCCATGCTAGGGCTTTTTTTTTTCTGGTTTAATTTTGTTTGAGTTTTGTACATACCATCACAAATGTTATAACAATAAACATGAAAACTAGAATCCTCAAGAATGCAGGTTCTGTGGTGCTACTCCTTCCAGAAGGTCAAGGAACCTGGAGTGAGAAGGAATGAAATATAGGTTGAAAGTTAAACATAATCATTTTTCAATTTTTTTGTTGTTGCTGTTTTGAGACAGGGTTTCTCTGTGTACCTTTGGAGCCTGTCCTGGAACTCACTTTGTATACCAGGCTGGCTTCGAACTCATAGAGATCTACCTGCCCCTGCCTCCCGAGTACTGGGATGAAAGGCGTGGGCCACCATTATTTTTCAGTTTTGAGACACTGTATATTCTTGGCTGGCCCGTAACCGATATATTGACCAGGATGGCCTTGAACTTGTGAATGTCCTCCTGCCTCTGCCCCTCAAGTGCTAGGATTTCAGGTATAGGTCACCAAGCTTGGCTCACAATCTCTTTTCTTTTTAATTGATTTTTTAAATTGTTTATTTGTTTATTGTAGAAGTCAGAGGGCAACTTTTGAGAGTCAGTTCTCTCCTTCCACCATATGGGGTTCAGAGATCAAGTTCAGGGTGTCAGTCTTGGCTGCAAGCACTTTTATCTGCTGAGTCATCTTGCTAGCCCTGACCTGTAAACCATGCTATACACAAGTAAATGTGTGTGTGTGTATGTACACAGTGTTCATGTGCATGCACATACACATTCATACGCACAACCCAGAGGCAGTATGAGGTGTTTAGAGGGAGCTGTAGTTCACTAATATTTTATATTTTTCCTCTATAAATTTATGTAGATGCTGCTTCTGAAAAATCACTTTCCTTGAGCAAATTTGGAGTCATAAAGATCAGCCGTGCCCAACAAGGTCTGTCAGGGAACATGGGGGGAGGGGAGGGAGGGAGCAAAGCTTTGATGAGCCGAGGTTCATCTTTGTTTCCCTCCCTAAGGGACCTAATGAAACTACTGCTATGCTGACATTAGGCAGAGAGAGTTTCAACTGTGGGAATGAACTGTTCCAAAAGCAAAAGTGAAAATTTACAAAGGCTTGGGGTGGAAGAAAAGCAGCCGTAGATGCTCTGAGTTATAGGTTCTTCTGGTTTCTCTAAAAGGCTTTCAAAAGTCTAAAAACTCCAAATTGAAACAACAGAATTGTGGTTCTATTTGAAAACGATCGTGAGCATTGTTCTTCTCTATCTACATTTTATTTCTTCTTTGCTGCCCATTTGGACTTGGGGTAAGCCAGGGAGATGGTTGGCTAGGAATGAGAAATAACGGCAAGTTGGCTGCTGTTAATTTTTTGTATGTCTCATTTACTGAAATCTATAATTTGAAAATAGTTCTTTGAAACGCTCCTGTCTGTTTGAGTTTCAATCAATTTCTTAATCATATAAAAACAGCAGGAGCCACTGAAAAACAGACACAACTTCAGAAACTACACGTTTCCTTTTACAGGACACAAAGTAAGAAATTCAATGCATCCCTCACAGCATCCTACCTAATAGCAGGGCACCTCTGAGTGGCTTGGGGCAGGGAAAGAAAATGTGTTTTTAAATGAGAAAAATATAATCAGAAATGATCATTGTTCGGTTTATAACAGCAATGACAAAAATCAAGCTTCTAGCAGCCCCTGACGAAAGGCAAATTATGCTATTCACATTGATCGCTTTTCCTCCCCCTTTCCCAGCTGATTTATTAGCCTATGATATTACAATCATTCAGCAAACGGGCTGCAGCATAAATATTTGATCTGGGGGTAATGTTTTGTTCACATCTCCATTTTGCCATGGCCTTCCATTCTTCCTGCTTCCGACTTTCCTTGAGTCAAAGGGAAGGAGGCAAATAGGAATACAAAGTGGGTAGAGAGAACCGACCTGCAAGTTATCCAAGCGAGGGAAAGCCTCAGGGAATAAAGAAAGCAGCAGACAGAAACTCAAAGTTCTTCCCTGGCCGTGATGTCGGATGCATCTTTTTCTGCCTGACTGGGGACAATCAGGGTCCCCTAGGGTTCTGTTTGTCTGCTGACAACATTCTTTGCTCATTAGTGGTTAAGTCTACCTGTGTGAGCAGATCAGCTGGTATACCAGTCACAATATATCTAAAAGTATAGACCTGATAAAAAGGGACAGAGGGAAAACTCTTGGCAGCATCCATCCCCAGTGGGAATCACACAGGCTCATGTTGACAACCAGCCCTTAGAACAACTTGGGGTTAAGACACATCTGGGAAACTGTGGGGCACCCACTGCCTCTACTTTGCTCCCTCGCTTCAGTTCTGTTTTCTCATATTACACAGAATACACCTAGTCCAGATTTCCTAGGACGTTGCATGAATTCTAAATGGTCTTATAATAAAAAATACCCTAAGCCAGATATCAGGGTAAAAGCTGAAAGATCAGAGAAGCAGAGCAAGCCATAGCCACCACCTCTTACCTCACCAACTCCTCAGCCTGAAAGAGCCAGTTCCTGTCTCCTCCCTCCTTATATTCCTTTCTTTTCTTATTATTATTCTCCCAGCCATATCTCTTCCTGTCCCAATCCTCCTAGTGCTGGGATTAAAGGTGTGTGACTCCCCAGTGCTGGAGTTAAAAGTGTGTACCACCAAATGCCTGGCTCTGTTTCTCTTTTAGACTAGATTAATCTCATATAGCCCAATGGGGCCTTGAACTCACAGGAATCCAGATGAGTTTCTGCCTCTGCCTCCTGAGTCCTAGGATTAAAGGTGTGTGCCACCACTGCCTGACCTCTATGCTAACTCTGTGGCTGGCTCTGTCCTCTGATCTTCAGGCAAGCTTTATTTCTTAGATTACAAATATGTCACCACACTAGGACACTCACATCTGGATTCCTGAAGACATGGCTTTATCTCCACTGCCGGCTGCTGTTTTCTTTAGGTTTAATTCACTTTGACTGGTGCCCACACACCACAGGTTCAAGGCTTGTAATCACACTTGCCACTCCCTCTTGGAGTCAGGAGTCAAGATAGAAAAAATGGGAGTTTCCTTGAGTGCTTGACATGGCAGAGGAAAGAGAAGGTCATGAGTAAGAAGAGGAAGGCAGAGACTATAGTGTTGGTCTGTGGCACACCATGAGAATTATGCATGTGAAGGGCTGGGCACTGTGCCTGGTGTAAGGCAATCCTAGAGCATATTGTAGCTACTGTGAGTCTCCTTGGAAAGAGACTCACTGAGAATTATCATAGTGGCTGCTGGCCTTTTCTCTGGGCTGGAAGCCTTACTCCCCACCTCCGCTTTCTGGTCTGGTCTATTTCCTGGTTTGGATGTTGAGTTATTTTGATGAACAAATCTAGGTGCTATCATGACTCCAGCATTAAGCAGTGTTGGTCCTGACTAATTTGCTCCAACTCTCTGAGCCTCTGCTATCTCCTAGCAAGACTGCACCTTCTTTGGGAAATTGTGGGATGAATGGAAACAAGCGGTGAAACAGCTGGCCGAGAGTGAGCGACCCAGTGCAAGTGGAGATTGATCCCATTTCCCTACAGCAGGCCCTTGTCCTGCCTCATGTCCATTCTCTGCTCTGTTTAGTCTGTTCTCCGATCTCAGCTTGAATGGCAGCTTCCTAAGGAGGACTTCTTGGATCACCTCATGTGGGAAAAGGCGCCTTCCCGTTACTCCTTAGACCGTTCTGCTCTGATCTTACATGGGTGCTATGCACATGTTTGTCATCTGTCTTTCCATGTTACACCCGTAATTGTACAATGCTAGGGCCCTTCTCTGGCTTTCTGTGTTACACCTAGGGCCAAGCACATCATACACACGCAGGGCACATTTATAGAACGAATCGTAATTTTAACGAGTGTGACAGAAGGCTAAAGCAGTATTAAGGTGGGTTTTTCATCACTAGAACTTTCAAGTAGAGCATCCTTAATTGGGAATAACTTTAAGCAAACTCTCAAGTACCAGATTCTACATTTTTGTAATTACAGGCCTGAACTGATGCTCAGGAAATGGGGGGGGGGTTGTATCCTATGTCTAGATGTTTTTGCATTCTAATTCTATTCCCCTACTCAAGTCTCCTCTCTCACCTGAATACCGTCCTCAAGATTTAGGATTTTTCTTTTGCCACCCATGTACCATCTTTCCTATTAAAAATGACTGATACTTGTCCAGCATGTACTATGTGTCCAGCACCCTGCCCAGGCCTTCACATGTGATTTATTGCAGTCACACTTTGAGTTCAAGTCATGATTTCTGTTTTCAGATAATAGCATTGGGCTTTGACTGTGGTTCTTGGGGAGAGAGATAGGAAGGGAGGAAGAGAGAGAAAGAAGAGAGAGAAGGAGAGAGAGGGGAGAGAGAGGGAGAGAGAGAGAGAGAGAGAGAGAGAGAGAGAGAGAGAGAGAAGTACCCCAAATCTTGACAAGAATGGAAATGGAAGAAACAAGGATTGGACCTGGGTATTAGAACAGAGGGGGCAAACAAGCACAAAAGACAAATTCCAAGTCTAAGAAGTTCAGTCAAGAGCCCTGACATCCAGGGATAAGAAGCAGATGTGCCAAGGGCTCTTTTCCCCAAGCGCCACTGACATGCAGATCCTGGTTGCGTTCTGCTGGGGTTAGCATGGCGGGGTCCCACTCAAGGTTTGCCTGTGGGAAGGAGGTTAGCCTCACAGAGTGGGAGGACTCAGTAGTAAAGGCATCAGCAGAATCAGATGAATCACCTCGAGGCATCTTCATCGGGGCTGTTGTTTGAAAATGGGACATAAACCTCGGAAATGTCAAGAGATAGGGTTTTTGCCAAGGCAACAGAATGCTAGGGACTGCAAGCAAAGATTCTTATTACAAAAAGGTGCTAAATTCTGGAATCGGGTTTAATTATACCTGAGGTATTTCTGACTCGGTGTGTGGGTGGAGGCTCTGCCTCTCTTTCTATTGCTGTTATTATCACATGGGTGTACAGCTTAATTTTTCCCACCGTGGGGCTCCTGAGTCAACTTCGCAGTCTCTCGTAGCCAACTACCCCGGGGGGGGGGGGCAGTTTCTGACAAAGCACTCAACTGCCCAGTCTCTATAGCAGTCAAATTATCAGCCTTGAGCAGTCATCAGGTTTAATCGTTCGTGAATCAATCGCCAGGATAGCGTGGGGCCAGCATCCCATACTCCAGAGGCCAAATCTGTAGAGCGTGGATTCGCGTGTCAGAGCGACATATTGGCTGAAAGTCCTTTTTGTGTTGGCTGTGGGAGTGGAGAGAGGTGGGAAATGTGAATTGCATCTCACCTTGTCTAAGGGGACCCCTCTTGATGGATTTGCTTTTCTTTCAAAGATGCTAGCTGTTTTTTTTTTTTTTTTTTTTTTTTTTTTTTTAATGCTGTGTATGTTATGCTCCATCTCTCATCTTCAGCTGGCCTCCATTTGTTTTTGCAGGCCGCCTCTGAATAATTTACAATCGAGCATTTCTCAGTGCTTCTGGAGGTCATCGGGTGCTCCACTGATGGAGCTGTTTTGTTTATCAGCACATCCAGCAGTGCTCAGCTCTTGTGTGTGTGTGTGTGTGTGTGTGTGTGTGTGTGTGTGTGTGTGTGTGTGTGTGTGTGTGTGTCACAGCAAATAAAGGCCATGCTTTATTGTTGTTCAAACCTTGAACCTCATTCAGTGGAAAATCCAAGGGCCATCGTGTGAAAGCAAGGCTGTGGTCTGGTCTCAGGTGGTCTTTGCTATCTGTCATCTCAGCAGCCTCTCTTGCTGACCCTCCTCCTGCTGTATTGACCTTCACGTTATTTCTCTCTTTTTTTTTTTTTTTTTGATGCTGTTTAATAAATGACGACAAACACAGTGCTTCCCAGCAGCACCCATGTGTTAGTACCTTACTCTTTTGCAGGTTGGAAGCACGGGCAGATGAGCTGTGTGCTCTGGTTAGAGAGTCTGCCAAGGCTGAAATTCAAGTGTCGTCTGAGCTGCGTGTTGAATCTGGATGTTCTGGGGGAAAACGGCGGTCTTGAGTTTATTCAGGTCATTGTCAGAATTCAGTTCCCTTCAGTTGGAGGAACTGGTTTCAGTGCAGGCTGTCTCCCAGCTTCTAGCGACCTCCCAGACTCCTTAGCACATGGTCTTCTCCATCTTTAAGTTAACAAGGGTGCATTATATCCTCCTCTGACTTCTGTTTACAGGGTCCACATCGTTAGGTTAGGCCCATCTTGGTACTCTTATTAAGGCCCATCTTTTTTTTTTTTTTAAAGGTAGAATCTTGCAGTGTGGTGCAGGCTAGCCTCAAACCCTAGATCCCTAGTGCTGGGATTGCCATTTGTTCTGCCATGTTGTTTGTTTAGTAGTCTTGACTTGAAATAGATTTCTGTGGTCTAGGTACCCATGGAATTAAGAATCAGGACATGGAGATTAGCGACCACTCTTAGAATCCTACCTCCTGTACTGTTCTTCCAGCATGCTTCTACCGGCCCAGCCCTCATACTCTGCAGGTGCTCTCCACTCTGGAGCCCTCCCCAGGGTCACACGGTTTGCTCTCTGACTTTCTTCATGTCTCTGCCTGAAGGTCGCCTCAGTTTAGAGGTCGGCAAGGTGATTATTTCTAAAAGGAAGTCCTCATTCTGCCTTTTCCTTCACAATGTCCAGGAGGGATTTCAAGTTATTTAGGTGGGTCCTGAGGATTGAACCTGGGGCCATGTGTATGTCAGGCAAGCATTTTTATTACTGAGCCTTGTCTCTGGGCCTCTTTTGCTTGTTTATTTTGAGATAAGACCTCATTAAGTTATCTAGGCTTGGCCTCTCACTCTGTATTGCAGCCAAGTTTGGCTTTGAGCTCCCTCTATTCCAGGTTGGCCTTGACTTTGTGAGTCACCTGCCTCAGCCTCCTGCCAAAGCTCAGATTATAGACACTATATAGGTGCATTTATATGCGTCATCAGTCTTGGCTTGTGTACTTTTGTTTATTATTTCTCTTTCTTCACTGGAATTGAGGTATCCTGAGGATGGAGTCTTGCCCACTGTGTTCACAGCTGCATCCTCAGCATCTGAGATAACTCATACCACATCTCAGGATGTGAACCACATCTACAAATAAGTGAATGCATAAACAAATCTTGTTTTCTTCCTTTTCTTTTCTACTAAGATGCTCCTGAATTTTAGCATTCTTATAAAGCCATTGCTGTTTTTCCATTTCTAACTGTACATCTTATGAGTTTTCTTCTTTTTAATTTTTTTTTTGTTTTTTTTTTTAGAGACAGGGTTTCTCTGTATAATTTTGGTGCCTGTCCTGGATCTCTCGATGTAGACCAGGCTGGCCTTAAACTCACAGAAAGCTGCTTGGCTTTGCCTCCTGAGTGCTGGGATTAAAGGCGTGGACCACCGCCACCTGACTCTTTTTAATTTTTTTTTTTGTACATTTGTAACTAAAATTGATTTAAATCACTTACCCCTGTCCCTTTCCTCCTTCCAGCCCCTCCCAGGCCTCCTCCCTCTAACTGCTCTCATGCCCCTCCACTCTCAAATTGATAGTCTCTCTTTCTTTGATCACTATTGTTGCATATATATCTATTCGTATGTATGCACAGATACATAAATACAATCTGCTGAGTCTGTTTCGTTGTTTGTACATATACGGCTTTAGGCATGACCACTTTGTATTGGATAGCCAATCAGGAGGCTCATCCCTGAGAGAGGCTAATTCTCCCTCTCTCAGGAGTCATTAGTTGACTTTATTTCTTCATTTATGAGTGGCATCTTGTGAAATGTTCCCCCACGTTATCATGTCTATTGATGTTGCCATTGTTCTGGTAGCCATTTACAGGGTAGATGGTTTCATAGCAGACATCCTGGTATTTTATCTCTTACAACCTTTCCATCCTCTCTTCTGGGATGTTCTCTGAGCCACTAATTCAAGAGCTGTGATGTAGATGTATCCATTGGTGTTGGGCTCCCCATGATCCATTGATTTCTGCATTGTGTCCAGCTGTGGTTTTCTATGATGGTCTCTGTTTGCTATAAGGAGCAGCTTGTTTGATGAGAGGTGGTAGCTACACTTATCTGTGATATAGAGATAAGATTTAGAATGCAGTAAGGAATTATGCCAGTCCAGCAAAGTAGCTGTAGTAGATTTTTTTTCCCCTCGGGACCATGACTTCACCAGCCCTGGGAAGTTGGCTGGGATTCTAGTACCAGACATGGTTTCCCTCCTGTTGAGTGAGCCTTAAGTCCAATTAGACAGCCGTTAGCAGCAACATATGAATGTCACTTATGGCACCTTTAAGGATATTTTGCTATGCTGATCATTGTTATGGTTCATAGTTACTGCAGCTGGGTAGGACTATTAATTGCTTCTCTTCCTAGGCAGCTTGCCAGTATTTTCTTGTACCATGGAAGCTAGACCACAGGAAGGAGGCTTTCAGAATAGGTCCAGTTTGACTAATCAGAGTCCTGAGCCCTAAGTGCATAGTGTCTTGGGCAATAGAGGCTTACCTTCAACCTCTGAGAGGCAGTCAAGGGCAACATCAATTGGGATTCACTTGGACTTCTCTGACCCATCATTTGAAAGGAGGTTTCTTGTGCCTGGTACTGGAGTTTTTTGGTCATCTATGGTTCTTGTGGTGAGCATTGTCAGCCCAAGAGGGACACACACACACACACACACACACACACACACACACACACACACGTATGTGAACATATATGTAGACATAAATATCACACATATATGTATATAATATATCTCACGGACATGTATATTATATGTATGTGTATTTCATATAATTTTAGGTGAATATTGAGGCTTTATAAAACAACCTGGTTTGTTATTTGTTCCTCATTCCTCCTCCTTCTGTAGCATCTTACGAATTTGCTTCTTCTTCACCTTGTGATTACACGAAGCTCCATTGTAGGGTGGAAATATCTTCAAGATGGTTGCTTGTAGCTTCCTGTGAAATGACTGACCCTTGGGAACTAGGACATCTTCCTCCTTGTATGGTAGAACACATTCCTCTGGGCAAAGAACTTCCATCTTCGTGAAAGCTGAGCCTCCTTTTGAGAGTCTGTAGAGACAGAGTCTGTTGACTGTTCACATTCCACCATAGATGGAAGGGTTGAGGACATTCCTTAGCCAATCATCTGAGTTGCCAGCCATTCCTCCTAGTCATGTGTTTGCAATCACACCCAAATTGCACGAGGCCATTGGAGTCTTGAGAGGGGCTAGCGTATATAGGCTATGCAGCCAGGGGGAGCTGCCTCCCTGCAGATCGTCCAGTTTTCCTGCTTTAGGGTCACTCATCCACCTGCCAGCTCCCCTCACTCATGCTCTGTAAGTCAGCCTAATAAACTCATTGGTGCCTAAGGGTGAACTTTGGTGGAATGGTGCTTTGGTTTATGCTAGGACTTTATGAGGAGGGGGTAGATGCTTATGTATTCTCAGAACCCCTTCTTTTCCAATAGCTTCTGCAGAGTTCTTAATTAGCAACATTCTTAGGAGGATTGCTGTGGTCTCTTGAATTTATGTATTGAACCCTGTAGCAGGAATCTTAAAGGTTCTTATTAATAAAATCAAACCCGAGGCGAGTTATTGGGGTCCATGCTGGTAGATCAGAGAGACAGAACAAGCCACAGCTATCTCACCTTGCCGGATCCTCAGCTGGTCTTGTCTCCTCAGACTGGAGGCCTCTGAGTCCTCATCCAGAATGGGTCTCAGCTGAATTACTGCTCAAAAGCCTGAATGCTTAACCAGCCAAAATCTTAACCAGCCAAAATGCTTCTAGTTTCTGGTCCTCATGCCTTATATATCTTTCTGTTTTCTACCACCACTCCCTGGGATTAAAGGCTGGCTTTCTGGGATTAAAGGTGTGTGTCACCATGCTTGGCTATTTCCAATGTGGCCTTGAACTCACAGAGATCCAGAGGGATTTCTGTCTCTGGAAAGCTAGGATTAAAGGTGTGAGTGCCACCATTTTCTAGCCTTTGTATTTAGTGGCTGTCTGTTCTCTGACCCCAGATAAATTTATTAGAGTACACAATATTTTGGGGAACACAATACCACCACAGAACCCAACCTTCACTATTGTTATTCTAAAGAAGGATCTATCTCTAGGAAGTGAATCAGGTGAGATGAGATCATAGGACAGCTTCTGGTCTAATAGATTAGTTTTAGAAGAGATACCTGAATCTACCCAGGCCCCTCCCCCATGTGCATGTGACTGGAAAGGCTACGTAAGCTCAGGATGAAAACGAAGCTGTCCAACACCCAAGTAGAGCATCCTCCAGACACGTGTTCTGCTGGAATTTAGATATGGGACTCCAAGGACTTCGAGAAATCGTCTCTTGTCTA